GGGAAAGAATTACAATGACCAGGGACACGAAGACGCCTCCCCCAATCAGGCCCATTTCTGGGAAAGCAAATCAACCAAAGGGAGAAAAAAAAAATCCTCCCTGATATCTGGAACTTTCCGTTCCTTGGGGCTCTTTCAACCTCCAAGCACAAGATTGCTGGGTGTGTGGGGGAGGGGGGAAGGAGGGGAAAGGGGGCAAGGAGATGCTTTGTAGATGGTGCCAAAATCCCAGGCTTGTAAGCCCAACAACCACACCTGACAGTTGGAAAGGACTAAGACTTTGATTTTCAAAAAAGTAAGTTCCAAAATGGGACAGCAATGCTCCATAGTGGACCCCCCTTTTATACAGTTTTGAAAAACACACATTTCCTCTAGCCATTGATAAAATAAGTCTCAAGTTTGATAATATTCCGTTTCTTCTTTTTCTTTCAGTCTCATAGTCAGTCTGTCCATCTCTGTGCATTCTAGTATTTTTTTGATTATTTCTTCATCTGATGGTATTCCTTCATTTTTCCAGTGTTGCACAAATATAATTCTTGCCGCCGTTGTGACATTGGAAGGGATTGGCAGATGCTTCTCCCCTCCTGCTGTGGGATCCTTGGTGTTCTCTGACTTGGTAGTTTTCTTGCAGATGTTTCAGTACCAAACTAGGTAACATAATCCGTGCTAGAAGAGAGATGAACTTGCTCTCATTTTTATATACTAGTGGTTTGCTCTGTCAGTATTGGTGGGGGTGTTCTTGAAGGTTCCTGGATTGTTTACTGTTAGCTCGTCTGTATTGCTAATTGCTCCATTGGGAGGTTGTTTACTGAATTGTTGGTCTTGTGTTATTCTTGATGTTAATTTTTGCTCATATAGGTGTTGGTTGCTGCTTAAGAGATGTTTTGGTGTTCTTGTTTCCTTTTGGGTTTTTGGATTGTAGGTGTTGTTTATCTCTGTATGCCTGTCGATGGCCACTTTGTCCGAGTGGTAGGCCTCCAGGAATTCTCTGGCATTTTTTGGATTTGGCTTGGTCTAAGGATGCTCACATTTTCCCAGTTGAAGGTGTGGTTGAGTCTATCCAAGTACTGTGAAATGAAGGGGTTTTCATTGTGTCTTCTGACTGCTACTTGGTGTTCATGGAAACGTTCTGCTGATGTGTTCCTGCCACTTCCTACGTAGTACTGATACAGCCCTTTCAGTGTATGTTGTAGATAACTCCGTTTTTTTCTTCTGGAGCTGCTGGGTCTTTTGGTTTTGGACGGCTTTTGATGGTTTAGAATTAGGGCTGGTCTTGGCCTGGAGATGTCTCTCCCATTCACTTTTATATTTTTGAGGCGACTTTACTTCTCGCCTGCGCAATGACGACACACTGATTTCTGGATAACTTTGTGTCCTTCGCAGTCCACAGGATGGCTTGTGCTTCAGGAAGAGAGAAAAAATGAAGGAAGTCAACACCTCCTTTTGCATGGGGGGGCGTGTTTCTTCCCTCCTCCCCTCGGCTCTCTTGTCCCCCCACTGGAAGCTCAGCAGGCATGAGGAGAAGCAGTCAAAGAGGAAGGAAGGATTGCAAGCCCCCCACTCCACAAAGACCTGCTCGTGCCCCCCCACCTCTCCCCCAGGGTTCCCCTATGCCTCCAGCTCATCCTGGCCAAGGAGCCTTTTTTTCCTGGATAGCCCCAGCTGCCCTTTTTCTTCTCCCCGTCCCCTCCAGCCCTTCCTGGACAGAAACCCCCAATTTCTCCAGGGTGCCCCAATTCCTGCTCTGGGCTCCTTCCCCGTTTCTCTCTCCTGCCTGGGAGCTGATGGGCCAGAGAGGCTGAGCTGAGCTGGATCTTCCCCTGCAGAGCAACCCATCAGAAGAAGCCCAGGATCCCCACACGACCACCTTGGAAACACTCTGAGGATTAATTCCCCACCTCCAACAATCCTGCTGGTCTTGATTCTCAGGTATACCCGAAGCCCAGAATATTATGCCTTAAATAGCAGCAATAATCAGCAACAATCACACTCACCCCTGATGTTTGTGGTGACAAAAGTGATTGCCTCTCATCTTCTGTATGGTGCATGGAGAAAGAAGGAAGGCTTTGTGAAGGAGTCAGATCATGGCAGGTTGTCACTTCCTTATAGATTTTATTTCTGCGTCTCTTCCATCGATCTGACAGATGGCAAAAAGAGAAGACAGTTTGTTTATTTGGGGGGGGCAGCAACTCCTATCTCAGGTGGAGAAGGATTTATCCTGAAGACCTCCATAGGGACCTGCACTGGACTGCCATCAATTATGCTAAACCTCTTGGAATCTCATTGTGGGCACGATGGTGTTTCCTCACATACTCTGGGCTCAGAAGTTCTTAATTCAACTTTTGTGACCTAATCTTAAGCTAGCCAGATCTAAGAACCAGCAAACTTTGGGCTGATCTTGAAAGGCTAATCTGGGTCTGGCTGGGTCAGAAAATCGCAAGCCAATCGGAAGAGGAGACCCGTCCTGGAAGAAGGAAGTGGCAAAACACTTCCAAACCCTGGCTGAGAAAATGACAAGGAAGTGCTGAGATGCACATGGTGAAACTCAATTGAGGAGACACGTCCTGCCTACTTCATCCCTCTTGTGTCTCCTGCTCTTAGTAGGAGCAGAAGAAGCAGCAGGAGCTTCCCCCGCTGGACCTTCCTCCCTGCCCTTGCCTGTCCCCAGGTGGGATTGAAAGCAGGGGCAGAGGGGATGAAGCCCCACCCTCCATGGACCTCCCCTCCCATCAGAGCTTCCCTTTGCCAGGGGACAGGGCAAATAGATCTCCTTCAGGGACAGGATTATGGAATTTCCAGCACTTCCCAGATCATTTAAGGCAGGGGTCCCCAACTGGCACCGGTCCACAGTATGCCAGCAAATGGGCCGCACACACAAGCAAAGCTCCATCCTCGGGGTGCTGGCAGTATTGAAAACCACACCCCATCTTCTTTACGGGAGGGTGCCTTCCCCGCGGTCCTAAAGGAGGCGGTGGTGAGGCCCCTCCTGAAGAAGCCTTCCCTGGATCCAGATGTATTGGCTAACTATCGCCCAGTCTCCAACCTTCGCTTTGTGGCGAAGGTTGTTGAGAGTGTGGTTGCACAGCAATTCCCTCGGCACCTGGAGGAAACAGTCTATCTGGACCC